ATTCATTGCAAACACTAACAACAACAAAAAGCATCGATCAGATGAAGTTGAAACGCTGATTGCACAAGATGATAAGCTTTTGTTAATTTGATGAATGCTTTCAACGGTTGCTTCCAGCTTCTCTTAATTAAACAAACCTAAGAAATTAGGATAATAATTAAAAGATGTCAGAGTTCAATCAACAAGTCTACACACTTTGCTGCTTAACATTAAAAATTATTCCAAAGCACACAAATATGCACAGGCGTGAGATGGTTAAACGATTATCCCTTTCAGTAGGAAAATTGAAGTAATTTTCACATGACGATTTCTCTTAATCTTCATGGATGGAAAAAAGCACTTGGCTCCTACTATATTATGACGCTGAACTACATTTTGTAAAGTTGAAATCTTAAATATAAATTCAACTCCTCTAAAAATTCGAGACTGGTGATATTCGAGAATCACAATATTTTAGAGATGATTAGCAAACTTCGTACTCTTCAGAAATAGCGTGAAATTTGACGCATGAGGTTGTTTGAGCATTAACCTTATATTCGAAAAACACTTTCTGAAGTATTTACTAAGAATGTCCATGAGAATGTGTCTAGTCCTTTCCCTTTCAGCAATTTTCAAAACAGATTTGGCGATGGACGGGTACAAAAAGGAAAACAAAAGTGCTGGCGTGATTCGATTTGATAGAGTATACTTGTCAGTCAATGTTTGATACATCCATTTACTCTTAAAAAATCGGTCACCGCGCAGTATATACTTTAATAATTGAGTAAAACATAAAAGAAGTAAGCGCAGTTTGCGAATGCTAACAACTTGTTATTTGTATGAGATTTATTCATGTTCAGAAGCAATATCTTCTTGTTTGCTTACCGCTAGAATGAAGCTGCTCTGCTAATGAGTTAAAAATCCTTATACATGTACTACAAGTCGCCCTCTACTAGATTCATCACAACACGAGCTACTTAGCCATATCCGCAGGAGAGTCGCCGCCATCTGCTCTCATTTACTGCTCTCTTTCATCACTAAGCGTTGAACCTAGTTGTTTTTCCTCACAGCTAATAATAGTCTCTTTTTGTCAACATATGTAATAAATAAAAATGGAGATTTTTTTCCAACAAGAGAAGGACTTTGACAATGACGTTAATTGATTTTCGAGCATCAACTTCAATGAGATGCGTTGCATTGCGAATCAAACGAATGTAACGAGCAACAGAAAAAAGAAACCTATGGAATCATTACAACGCTGAGAAGCACGTCGCAGGTGGCAATCTAATGCGAGCAAGACACGGAATGCAATCGAGCGACAAACGATTCTCGTATAGCCACACTTCAGCAGAGTATGTAGGTGGTCGACCATTGCCAGTACTTGAAGTCAGGGTCGACAGAGAAGGCAAAAAGTTTCGATCGACGTTCTGCAGCAAACAAAATGTACATGGCGTCTTATGGTTACGGCTATTGTTCTGATACTATGCTGCATCATTGGATAGAAGACTCCGGGTTACGCTGGAAAAAAAACTATTTTTCGCATCATCTTTAGAGCGCTCAAATTT